AACTAGAACAGAACTAGAACAGAACTAGAACAGAACTAGAACAGAACTAGAACAGAACTAGAACAGAACTAGAACAGAACTAGAACAGAACTAGAACAGAACTAGAACAGAACTAGAACAGAACTAGAACAGAACTAGAACAGAACTAGAACAGAACTAGAACAGAACTAGAACAGAACTAGAACAGAACTAGAACAGAACTAGAACAGAACTAGAACAGAACTAGAACAGAACTAGAACAGAACTAGAAACAGAACTAGAACAGAACTAGAACAGAACTAGAACAGAACTAACAGAACTAGAACTAGAACAGAACTAGAACAGAACTAGAACAGAACTAGAACAGAACTAGAACAGAACTAGAACAGAACTAGAACAAACTAAGAACAGAACTAGAACAGAACTAGAACAGAAATAGAACAGAAATAGAACAGAACTAGAACAGAACTAGAACAGAACTAGAACAGAACTAGAACAGAACTAGAACAGAACTAGAACAGAACTAGAACAGAACTAGAACAGAACTAGAACAGAACTAGAACAGACTAGAACAGAACTAGAACAGAACTAGAACAGAACTAGAACAGAACTAGAACAGAACTAGAACAGAACTAGAACAGAACTAGAACAGAACTAGAACAGAACTAGAACAGAACTAGAACAGAACTAGAACAGAACTAGAACAGAACTAGAACAGAACTAGAACAGAACTAGAACAGAACTAGAACAGAACTAGAACAGAACTAGAACAGAACTAGAACAGAACTAGAACAGAACTAGAACAGAACTAGAGAACTAGAACAGAAAAACTAGAACAGAACTAGAACAGAACTAGAACAGAACTAGAACAACTAGAACAGAACTAGAACAGAACTAGAACAAACTAGAACAGAACTAGAACAGACTAGAACAGAACTAGAACAGAAACTAGAACAGAACTAGAACAGAACTAGAACAGAACTAGAACAGAACTAGAACAGAACTAGAACAGAACTAGAACAGAACTAGAACAGAACTAGAACAGAACTAGAACAGAACTAGAACAGAAACTAGAACAGAACTAGAACAGAACTAGAACAGAAATAGAACAGAAATATAACAGAACTAGAACAGAACTAGAACAGAACTAGAACAGAACTAGAACAGAACTAGAACAGAACTAGAACAGAACTAGAACAACTAGAACCGAACTAGAACTGACTAAACTGAACTAGAACTGAACTAGAACAGTACTAGAACAGAACTATAATAGTACTAGAAGAAGAGATTAAAAAGAGCTAAATGTTTTTTGAAAATATAAACTGTTATTTTTATTACCAGTAATTGCCCTCTTTTATTACCAAATTTAAGTAAAATTCAGGCCATTTGAAATTTTTTCCAATATTTTCTACAATCGCATTAATGTCATTAAAAATTATTTAAATTACACTCATAAATCTTGTAAAGAAGTTGAAATAGAAAAAGTGCAATTTACAATTTTAAATTGTAAATTTTTCATTCACCACAAAAATTAAATTTCGGCAAAACTCTTGGCAATAATTCGTCGTTATTAATTTAACCACACACACAAACAAACATTTATAATATACATTTAAAATAAAAGCGTTATTTACCTTTTAGTATGTATACATATGTACATACATGTATGTACCTATGTATGATCTCTCAATAAAATTCATATGCTTTAATAGTCGTTTATAGGAAATGAGAATGAAAATTGTGTTCAAATAAGTGAAAATTATTTCAGTTATTATTAAACTACTTCTAGTGATATGAAGATGGTATTCGGTAAAGGAAAGTAATTAATAAGTTTTAGATTGTTACATGATGCAGATATTTTAAAGGACTTTTCCGATTGCTGTTCCATACATATGTACATAAAGCACTAAACAATCCATATAAATATTTGCAGATCTCTACATACACAAATGAATACGTAACGTACATTTAAGAAGCGTATATACCTATCTGTATACATTAGGCCGGTTCGTTGATAATATTTTATTTAAATTCCTTTAAAACAACTATAAAATATTAGAATATTTTGCAAAGATTAGTCTTACAGCATTTCTAAACGTAATCGTAACTTATTTGTTGGTAAAGTCTGTAGTTGAAACGTTTAATATTTTTTTCTTAAGCCAGTTTATTACCTTGGCATACGTTCTCATACATATATACACATGAAATTATATACATAATATGAATTTATTTCTATGTATTAAATACCTAAAGCTTAACAACAGCAACAATACAACCAACCAACCATCAGCCCCAGATTCATTTGTACTCTGAACATGTTTTGCATACGCAATTTCCTACTCTATACAAAAACAACAACTACCGCAATAACAAATACCTACAACGAGAAAAATCTACTGGATGATTATGGCATCCAGAAAATAAAAACCAATTAAATGGAATGTCATTTGAGGAATGGGACTTTAGTATACATTTTCCTCTTCCTTTTTTTATACGGGAACATACATACATGTTTATGGTTTGGCTCTAGTATTTTGTACGAGTACAACAGAACCGCAAACATTAAGAATGAGAGCAAAATAAAAAGAAGGAAAATAAAACTGAAAACGAAAGAAAATCAAAATCCCAACATATGTTTCAAGTACGGTTTGAAGTGATTCATGTTGATACCTTCATTACACTCTGGTATGTTCAAATAAAGTTCTAGTTCAGTTCTAGTTCAGTTCTAGTTCAGTTCTAGTTCAGTTCTAGTTCAGTTCTAGTTCAGTTCTAGTTCAGTTCTAGTTCAGTTCTAGTTCAGTTCTAGTTCAGTTCTAGTTCAGTTCTAGTTCAGTTCTAGTTCAGTTCAGTTCTAGTTCAGTTCTAGTTCAGTTCTAGTTCAGTTCTAGTTCAGTTCTAGTTCAGTTCTAGTTCAGTTCTAGTTCAGTTCTAGTTCAGTTCTAGTTCAGTTCTAGTTCAGTTCTAGTTCAGTTCTAGTTCAGTTCTAGTTCAGTTCTAGTTCAGTTCTAGTTCAGTTCTAGTTCAGTTCTAGTTCAGTTCTAGTTCAGTTCTAGTTCAGTTCTAGTTCAGTTCTAGTTCAGTTCTAGTTCAGTTCTAGTTCAGTTCTAGTTCAGTTCTAGTTCAGTTCTAGTTCAGTTCTAGTTCAGTTCTAGTTCAGTTCTAGTTCAGTTCTAGTTCAGTTCTAGTTCAGTTCTAGTTCAGTTCTAGTTCAGTTCTAGTTCAGTTCTAGTTCAGTTCTAGTTCAGTTCTAGTTCAGTTCTAGTTCAGTTCTAGTTCAGTTCTAGTTCAGTTCTAGTTTCAGTTCTAGTTCAGTTCTAGTTCAGTTCTAGTTCTGTTCTAGTTCTGTTCTAGTTCAGTTCTAGTTCAGTTCTAGTTCAGTTCTAGTTCAGTTCTAGTTCAGTTCTAGTTTAGTTCTAGTTCAGTTCTAGTTCAGTTCTAGTTCAGTTCTAGTTCAGTTCTAGTTCAGTTCTAGTTCAGTTCTAGTTCAGTTCTAGTTCAGTTCTAGTTCAGTTCGTTCAGTTCTAGTTCAGTTCTAGTTCAGTTCTAGTTCAGTTCTAGTTTAGTTCTAGTTCAGTTCTAGTTCAGTTCTAGTTCAGTTCTAGTTCAGTTCTAGTTCAGTTCTTGTTCAGTTCTAGTTCAGTTCTAGTTCAGTTCTAGTTCAGTTCTAGTTCAGTTCTAGTTCAGTTCTAGTTCAGTTCTAGTTCAGTTCTAGTTCAGTTCTAGTTCAGTTCTAGTTCAGTTCTAGTTCAGTTCTAGTTCAGTTCTAGTTCAGTTCTAGTTCAGTTCTAGTTCAGTTCTAGTTCAGTTCTAGTTCAGTTCTAGTTCAGTTCTAGTTCAGTTCTAGTTCAGTTCTAGTTCAGTTCTAGTTCAGTTCTAGTTCAGTTCTAGTTCAGTTCTAGTTCAGTTCTAGTTCAGTTCTAGTTCAGTTCTAGTTCAGTTCTAGTTCAGTTCTAGTTCAGTTCTAGTTCAGTTCTAGTTCAGTTCTAGTTCAGTTCTAGTTCAGTTCTAGTTCAGTTCTAGTTCAGTTCTAGTTCAGTTCTAGTTCAGTTCTAGTTCAGTTCTAGTTCAGTTCTAGTTCAGTTCTAGTTCAGTTCGTTCAGTTCTAGTTCAGTTCTAGTTCAGTTCTAGTTCAGTTCTAGTTGAGTTCTAGTTCAGTTCTAGTTCAGTTCTAGTTCAGTTCTAGTTCAGTTCTAGTTCAGTTCTAGTTCAGTTCTAGTTCAGTTCTAGTTCAGTTCTAGTTCAGTTCTAGTTCAGTTCTAGTTCAGTTCTAGTTCAGTTCTAGTTCAGTTCTTTATTCCTTATAAAATATTATTCGACCTTTCTCAATTAATTCGTAGTTTACACAAAACGAATACATTTTGCATGTGAAATATATTCATACACATACAACATACACTTCGAAATATCCACAAATTATATAAAGGAAAGCCAAAAGATTTCCCAAGGCTACGAAATGTAATACAATTTGGCAAATACAAAAGGGAACACGTACAGGATGAATTTGTGAATATGTACATACATATATACATATTCCAGTATTTGCACACATACGCAAGTACGTGTAAAATATACAGGACAAATCTGTATTTCATTGTAACCAAGTATTTTATTACAAGTATGAGAAAGTCTGGCTACTTTTTCTTTAAATAAATATTTTTGAAATAAAAACTTATAAGTACATGTGTACGTAGTATGTTTGTTAGCAAAAGGATAATATAAGTGATTTCAAAGACCACAAACCGACAGAAAAAATTTCATGTATTAATTTTTGTGTATTTAAGTATGTGTGTGTATTTACTTAAACGGGTATCACAAAAGGAGCTTAGTCTATAAAAAAAATAGTTGTGAAAAGTTCGGATTCTAACTACAACTGTGCTTAAAATGAACTAAATCCAAACTAGAACTGATCTAGAATTTATAGATACAAAAAAGTATCCCCAATTGTTTTTAATACCGAACTATTTAGTTTCACTCCATGTCGAATCACATATGCCTTAATATACATTCTTATGTATACTCACAATTAACTACTTAAGAGTACATCCACATATGTATGTATGTATGCAAATTGTATTCATCTGGTCCGTTCATAATGGAACAATTCATTTGCTCATACGAACAAAACAATTCAGTCTTTTATTCAACCATTTCGTTATTCAGCCATTCTTCTTTCTCTGTTAAGTTCTTTGGTTCATTTAAGTTTTTCATTCATTCATTGAAACGTTTTCATTGCTGTTTGTTTTCTTTCCATGTTAAGTGCTAAATGGCACGTTCTCCTACCTAAGAGGAAGAAAGTAGTAGTTGAAAACATTGAAAAGTTAGATTTTCCAAAAAAAAAAAAAAATATATATATATAAAGAAAGGAATTTAAGTGTCGCATAAAGTAAAATACTTCATACACAAGCAGGTTTATTTAAATTGAATGTACGCATACAAACAAACAGATGTAGCGAAAATCGTGTGAACATATACATACATGCATTTGTATGTCCTTTTTGTATATATGAGTATGAATACATATGCAGCTAATTTAATTACAATACAAACTGTTATATTGTTGGTATTTTGGTTCTCGGTATACTAACATAGGAAATAAATCCACAAAAGGTGAAGCTTTAATAGGTCTTTAGAACTCTTTTGTATTTGTAATTGAAATAAAATTTAGAGCGCATTAAATGTTTAATATGTGGTTTTTATTTAATTCTACAGGATTTTAAATTAAAATCATGTTTACGTAATGAAAAGAGTTAATAGAGCAAAATGTTGCTAACTAAATTAATTTACAAACTATGAACTTTTCTAAAACCATAGACTATTGAATAATAGATTTTGGTTTTGTATTAAGAAAATCTGACTTATGAAAGATACTAAAACCAACTGGTCCACTTATTCAAGGTATAAATTTTAGAAACAGTATACATTTTAAACCATTTACTTCAATTTATATTTAACATTTTTTTTTTTAAATTTAATTTTTCCTTTAAAAACTTAAGCAAAATTTTCTTTTACTTTCTTAGTTTCGAATGCACTTTTAGGTATTTTTAAAACTTTATTAACAGTTAGTCATAATTTCTCTATTTATTTAGAATTTCATATGTTTCTTATTTAATATGCTCGCATCTCCATACTTTTTCATTTTGAACAACTACTGGATATTTAAAAGAAGTGGAATACATTACTATACTGAAGGCTACAACAATATGGAAACAATTTACTGAAACTAGAACTGAACTAGAACTGAACTAGAACTGAACTAGAACTGAACTAGAACTGAACTAGAACTGAACTAGAACTGAACTAGAACTGAACTAGAACTGAACTAGAACTGAACTAGAACTGAACTAGAACTGAACTAGAACTGAACTAGAACTGAACTAGAACTGAACTAGAACTGAACTAGAACTGAACTAGAACTGAACTAGAACTGAACTAGAACTGAACTAGAACTAGAACTGAACTAGAACTGAACTAGAACTGAACTAGAACTGAACTAGAACTGAACTAGAACTAGAACTGAACTAGAACTGAACTAGAACTGAACTAGAACTGAACTAGAACTGAACTAGAGCTGAACTAGAACTGAACTAGAACTGAACTAGAACTGAACTAGAACTGAACTAGTACTGAACTAGAACTGAACTAGAACTGAACTAGAACTGATATAGAACTGAACTAGAACTGAACTAGAACTGAACTAGAACTCAACTAGAACTGAACTAGAACTAGAACTGAACTGAAAAGATTCGAATTTTGTATCAAACTAAATTTTAGATAATGTACCTCATCCTAAAACGTTCAGTGTTCACTACTTAAAAGCAAGAAAAAAATAAAAACCATATTTTTCTTTTATATCATGTCATAAATTTTCTTTATGCATTCTGCATTTTCCACTATGCCACATACTCAAACATAACTACGCACAGTCACACATACACTCACACTCATTCATTGCTTAAATCTAAAAGAAAAATGATGCCAGTTGCAAATTTTTATGGCTTTTACTTTTAACATGTGAGATAGTTTTTCTATTCGTTTTTTTTTGGAAAATTGCATTTCTAGTTTGGTTTTTAAAACTGAAACAAAAATATGGCATTTTCTATTTGTTAAAAAGAGCTTCTTGAAGATTTATAGTCATATGTTTGGATTATTAGTTTACTAATGTTTTGTAAAATATGAGTTTTTGAAATAGCAAATACGTTACAACCAGAGGGAGTAGTTAAATGCAACTAAAATCAAACAACAACAACAACAGGGATAAAAAAGACAAACAAAAAAAGTTTATCTAAAAATTTTACAGACATAATAAATTTGTCTAAAGAGGAAATTTTGGTATGAAATGTTGTAAAAATTTAGCGCAAATATTAAAATAAATAAAAAAATTTATAATTTTTAAAAGTTTTCATTTGCAAAGGATTTCGAAATCGAAGTTAATTCTTATAAAGTAAATTACTTCAAATCGAAGTCAATTTTCATATAGAAAAGGAGTTCGAATCGAAATCTATTTTCATATAGAAAAGGACTTCGAATGGAAGTCAATTTTCATATGAAGGGACTTCGAATCGAAGTCAATTTTCATATAGAAAAGTACTTCGAATTGAAGTAAATTTTCTTAAAGAAAAGGACTTCGAATCGAAGTTAATTTTCATATAGAAAAGGATTTCAGATTGAAGTAAATTTTCATATAGAAAATGACTTCGAATCGAAGTCAATTTTCATATAGAAAAAGACTTCAAATCGAAGTCTGATTTCAAATAAAAAAGGACTTCGATTCGAATTCAATTTTCATATAGAAAATGATTTCAAATCGAAGTAAATTTTCATATAGATAATGACTTCTAATCGAAGTCACTTTTCATATAAAAAAGGACTTCGAATCGAAGTCTATTTTAAGATAGAAAAGGACTTCGAATAGAAGTCTATTTTCATATAGAAAATGACTTCGAATCGAAGTCTATTTACATATAGAAAAGAACTTCGAATCGAAGTCTATATTCATATTAAAAAAGGACTTCGAACCGATGTCAATTTTCATTTAGAAAACGACTTTGGATCGAAGTTAATTTTCATATAGAAAATTACTTCGAGTCAAAGTCAATTTTACTATAGAAAGTGATGTCGAATCGAAGTCAATATTCCTATAGAAAAGGACTTCGGATTGAAGTCAATTTTTATATAGCAAAGGATTTCGGATTGAAGTGAATTTTTATATAGAAAAGGACTTCGAATCGAAGTCTATTTTTATATAGAAAATAACTTCGAATCGAAGTCTATTTTCATATAGAAAAGGACTTCGAATCGAAGTCAATTTTTATATAGAAAAGGAATTCGAAAGGAATTATATTGAAAAGGGCTTCGACGTTCCTCAAGAAAATTACTTGGTTTCGCAGTCAACATTTGTATAGAAAGTTATTTCGTTTCGTAATCAATTTACTTTGAAACAACTGACTTCGAATCGATTTTTCTATATAGAATGACTTCTCATCAAAGTAGTTTTCCCCTATAGAAAATGACTAATTAAAATCATAAATCATTATAAAACAAACTGTTTAATTGTCTGCAAAAAGGATTAAAAACTAAATATATTAAAACAACCAACTAAACGATGTTGAAAACGATGACATACAAAGGTGTTACTAAAACTCTTCCCTCCTCCCCCCAAAAAAAAAGAAAGACGCTAAAGTAAAACTTAAGTAAATTTACACAGTCAACAACAACTACAACATAAGAAAATTAAAATTCATTAAAGTTTTATTTTAGTGTTATTTCTTCCACTCACATTGTTTATGAAACCCATAAAAATACTTGAGAAAACTATACAAAATACAAAAAGTAAAGATGTATTGTTTTTGTATACCCTTCTTCAAAACTTTATGAGGAGTAAGAATTACTCTGCTGCAACTAACTGGCCACACAACTCAAGAGACACTTGAAAATGAACAAGAAGCTAAGAGCCAGCCAAAACCAGCCAGTCAGGCATACAGTCATTTAGTTATGAACAAAAATAAAATAAATAAGGAAGAAGTTGTAGTAGGAAACTTAACCTGCTGATGAGGATTGTGTGATCACAACTTAAGTAAAACTACAACAAGTTGCATGAATGAATGACTGGATATATAGATGGTTGGTTGCTTGGTTGTAGGCAACCAACTACTCCTACAACTCACTCGAGAACAATTAAAATTAAAGTTATTTACAACAAGGATATTTTACCTCCTTTAGTCTCAAGCTCCCTCTCTTTTCTCTTTGTCTCATAAACTTATTTAAAAAACAAATACAAGAAACGTCTAGAGAAGACCTAAAGATTAAGGTAGAGAAATAAAATAAATATTTTTTTTCGAAAAAAGTTAGTGTTTTATATAATAGTTATAAATTAAATAAGAGTAAGAAAAAAAATCTCAAAAACACAAATTGCAATTAAAAGAAAACAAAACAAAGTGGAGAAAAATAAAACAAAAGTTAAGTACGAATATATAAAAAAAGGGAAGGGAAGAAAAATATAAAAAAGAGCTAAATAAATCGAAATAATAGTGGATCTGACTGCAACATTGGGGCAATGTCCTATTTACATAATATTTGATAAAGGCAACGATGTTTTAGAGTATAAGAAGCCAAAATAGAGTTAGTTCTTGCACTTACCAACTCTATACTAAAAGAGAAACATTGATAACATTTCAATATTATCCCTACTCCTTGACCAACGAGTATTGTTTCCCTCCACAAAACAAACCCTATAAAACTGCCATTATTAAAGTGCAAAACAACAACAACAATAAAATAAACTTACAGCGGTTTACATAATTTGATTAAAAGATGAAATAACACAAAAATTCAAATAAAAATAAATACAAGTACTTCCACAACAACAACAACAAAACTAATTGTTGTAAACTATAATGAACGTCCCTCCCAAAGTTGAATAAAAGAAAAATGAAAGAAAAACATAAACTAAGTAGTTTTTTGTTGTTGATACTGTCAAAAGAGACGCGAAAAATAACAACTAAAGAAATCTAACGACAAAAACTTATTTTAAAGTACATCCTCTTCACAAGTAAAGAAATTAATGGAACTTTCTTTTTCTTTAGAATATTTGTAAGTTATGTGTAAATGTATTTAGTGGAAGTTTATTGAGTTTTTTGAAAAGGTTCAATAGTTTTGTTGAAATTTTGAGTAAATATTCTCTACAAAACCTAATGACCACTGGAGTTTAAACGAATGCATCACAAAACAAGTCTTGAGAATATAGTATTGACTACAGCCTCGCTATGCTATATTTTTTACTA